TCTAAATTTATTAAAGTAGATGTCTACGTCTAAATTGTCGCATGGACATGAAATGATAAGATCGAACCACAAAGTCGTTCTAATCAAATAGTCAAATCCTACCTGAATTTGAAGTCAAAAATTACAGAAGAGGGAATTTAAACCTCACCTGCTATATGTATGACAAAACCAAGTTTGTTTGGGCTTTGATAGCTGATCACCAGAAAAGCTCAGAGCAGATGGTTTGCTCCTCTGGTAAGATCTTACTAGCTAATAGCACACTGATTGGCAGGCTATAACACGTTGCTTTAGAGTCAGGTCAGCGTCAGTTTAAACTATAATCCATTACGTTGTTCTAAACATAAAAATAATCCATTATAGTCCTTAGGTTTTGAACTTTCCCACAATAATTAATAGCAAAATGATGACCTACCATTACGTTAATCTAAACAAAAAAGAATCCATTACGCTCTTTCATATAGCTCATCATAGTGTTTTGATAATAACACGTATATATACGTATTATCAAAACACAATGATGAGCTAATGAAAGAACACGTTGCTTTATTTATAAAAGAAAAATGAAATGAAAAATAGACAAGTTGCTTTAGAAGTTGGAAAATAAAAAAAATAGACCAAAAATAAACTTTCAAAATCCATGTACAGAGATTTATAAGAGGAATTTCGGACAAACAAAAATATAACAATATTTTCCAGAAAAAAAAAAATCAAATCAAATCTTGGCAGGAAGGCTTACAATTTGAAACATACAATTTAAACTCATTAACTGTCAAAAGTTGATAAAAATTGTGATGCATTACATATTTTAACTCATTTGAGCTTAGGTTTTGAAGACCTCTGAAGAGGCTTTGCAATGGGCCTAGCACAAACATGAATCCCACTCACAGGTAAATAAATATAAGAAGCACATTGCTTCAATTTCTCACAATACTTGACATTATATATCCTTCATGCACACGACACACTTTACAAATTAAAACTCTAAATAGGGACCAAAGGATATGGATGGAGAAAAAAGGGTGATGGAGAGACTTGGTATGATGATTAAGCAACAGAGATGATAGAGCACACGGCTTGTATGAGAGTAAGTACGAGGAGAACAGCAGCAGCAACGAGAGAGATAGTTGCCCACGGCGTGTGGAAATAGTTTTGTCTTAAATTTGCCATCCTGTTGTGCCACGTCGAACTGCAGTACTTGTTCAGGTCTTCACAAAGAGCAGCAAAATAGAAGTCATTGGCTTCGATGGTGACCCCTTCCGCAAGGTTGTTAATCATAGTAGACACCTCATTGCTGTCACCAAGCCAGTTTTCAACAATCCCATACTTAACAAGCAACTCTACATCCTTTGGGGTGTTCACAAAACGATCCATCATGACAACATAATCATTTATGAAATTCTCCATGCAATGACATTGTTCAAAAGCAACGAGATTCCTGATTGTAAGCTCTGTCTCACCACTTATTGTGAACTTTGGAATTTCCAAAATCCCGTCAGCGAATCGTATGTCAAATAAGTTTGGAGTTGAACCCACCTTAAACTTAACCCCAGCCCTGTGTAGCTCTGTAATGCTGGGTGTGGTTAGAGTTTCGAGCCTCCCTGCAGCTTGTAATTCGAATGAAAACGGTAGATACAGATTTCTACAAAGATCAACAAAATGTTCTACTTTTGAAGAACACATTCTCTGCAAACTACCTTCTGCTCCCTCTATAAGCATTCGAGTTTTGAACCAGTCATGAGAAAGGGTAATTACTGAAAGCCTCATAGTATGGTTACTGTTAGAAGATACTTGAGTTTCGTGTAGGTTGAAAAGATCCTCAAGAATGAAAAACGGCAACTGATTTTCAAGCAACCGCAAGTCAGGCCATACATCCTGTAGCATCCATGGTTTGTTAAAAAGGCGGTCGTTCTCATTCCGAAATTCAGGGAAGTAGCTCTTCAATAAGAGCTCAATGACGAAAGTGGCATCCACTAGAATGATTCTTACAAATTCATCAACACTAAACTCAATGGTTTCCGCATAAGAACTGCGCACTCTTGCTTCTTGGTCCCTTATTCTCTTTACAATATCCTCCATGCTTACGTTGGTGCGACGCAGAAAATCTTGTAGGTACCTCTTTTTATGCTCTTCCATGGCTTTTAAGGACTTCTTGCCATGGTGAAATGGGCCTATAGAGACTACCTGAGGTGTGTAGGCATTTTCGTTTACATGTCGTAGTCGCTTAGGAACTCTGTAAATACAGCACAAAGAGGACAGAGGAGACAACCCATGCAATTCCTCTTTCAATGAAGTTGCCAAAGGAGTGAGAGGGTTCTGTCTGTCATGTAGAGCAGATTGATTGCTTCCCTTCGTCTTCCTCTTCATGTGTTGGTATAGTTACAGATTACTGCACCACAATGAACAAATCCTTTAATATCAACATTCCAATATGCTTTGACCAAAACTTGAAAAATCATCACAAAAGGCAAAATCAAACAATAAATGGTTCACAAATAAATTCAAACACTGATTTTCTAGTATTTTGTCTTAACTTTTGGATAAAATAAACAAAGAGTTTCTGGCTTTTGTGGCTATTTACTGTAGTGATGTCTTCGACATTTTCCCTTTGGTTGAATTTCCGAAAGTGGGAAAAGCAAACAAAATGAAACAGGTGGATACATGAATTTTTTAGGGGAGGTGCAATATTTGAAAGGCTAAAAATTCGCAAAGGACTCAGACAAGGTTTCAAGTCCTAACATCCGCGTAGTGTGTTAAAAAAAAGGCTAAAAATTCAAAAAATAATTTAGACAACCAAATGCCCTTAGAATTTAAACAACACTAATTGATTATAGTATATATGGAATATCAATTAATATGAACAAAATCCAGGTGAGTGACACAATTAGTTTACCAAAATTCATATCAAATATGAATAAAATTCATGTCAATTACATAATTAATCTAACAAAAGTCATTGCAAATTAATCTAACCAAAATTAATACCAATTAATCTAACCAATAGCACATGTGATTTGGAGGTCATGAGATAAAAGTACACATGATTAAAAGTTCGGAGTAAAAAGGCTAAAAATTCAAAAAATAATTTAGACAACCAAATGCCCTTAGAATTTAAACAACACTAATTGATTATAGTATATATGGAATATCAATTAATATGAACAAAATCCAAGTGAGTGACACAATTAGTTTACCAAAATTCATATCAAATATGAACAAAATCCATGTCAATTACATAATTAATCTAACAAAAGTCATTGCAAATTAATCTAACCAAAATTAATACCAATTAATCTAACCAAAAGCACATGTGATTTGGAGGTCATGAGATAAAAGTACACATGATTAAAAGTTCGGAGTAATTTTCGGTGAATCTTTCGGCACACATATGAGTTTTTAATGAATTTTTTAAGCTAAGCCAATTAGAAATTGACATGTGTCAATTTAAAAAAATAAAAATGAGAAGCGCTGGATTGACGCCGAGTCTTTCTTCTTCCTCGAACTGCCTCTGCAACTTAACTTCAATTCTTAAAAAACTTCAAAAATTCATAACTTTGGTTGTGGAGCTGCGATTGATGAACCGTTTTCTCCTACATGCTCGTGAGATCGAGCCCAACAATCTAAGGTAAATATTCAGGGTCTCACACAGCAGGAAACAAAAAAACGTCTTTGAGTCATTTAGTCGAACAATTGGTGGGGACTAGCAAAAGAGGCAAATTCCGGCATCTACAATGAAGTTTCCGGTGAGGAAGTTGTATGAACTAATACAAATTCTTGTCTTTTTAGGAGCTGATACCAGAGGGCAGAGAGTGAAGCTCAACATGGTCCGCACACAGTTATTTGAGTTCTAGGCCTAGCTATGTTATTGCAGCTTTAATAAAATCAAATTCTTAAACAATGATAGCAGATAGTAATTGTTATCCTCCTTTCCAGATCTCATGCTTCCAGTCAAAACAAAGAGAGACACAACAACATTCCATTGAAAGAAAGAAGAACAATTAGAAAACTCCCATAACCTTTTGCTTAATTCCAATTTTCAACAACCATGAAATATAAGAAACTAAAAGCTTCAAGAAAATGAATACATGAGTGCCAATTAACATAGCAAGGAGAAGGATACAATAACCCAGACAAAAGATTATGAATTGACAAACAAAAACAAAACGAAAGGATTGCATTCGCACCTGCTATGCAGAAAAACCAAGTTGGATTTGCCTTTGGTGGATGACTAGAAAAGCTCAATACAATTTACTTGCTAGGAAAATATAGATTTTCTCTAAATAATAGCACAATGAATAGTATAGAGGTTAAGCTAACTAAGCCTTAATTAATGATGGGTTATGCGACAGCTTTAGCCAGATTGAACCAGTGTAAATAAAAATAAAAAATAAAAAATATTGAACCTTATCTTTTTCCCCGGCTTCCTTTTTTTTCTTTCCTAGTGCTATTGAAAATCATGTTTGATAGGGAGGATCAGATTGAACTAGGATCAGATTGAACTAGTAACATAACTAGAAGACAACACTCATACTATTCCTTATTGCACATGAAATCTAAGCATTTTACTAGTCCAATCATTAATGATGGGTTATGCGACAGCTTTAGCCAGATTGAACCAGTGTAAATAAAAATAAAAAATAAAAAATATTGAACCTTATCTTTTTCCCTGGCTTCCTTTTTTTTCTTTCCTAGTGCTATTGAAAATCATGTTTGATAGGGAGGATCAGATTGAACTAGTAACATAACTAGAAGACAACACTCATACTATTCCTTATTGCACATGAAATCTAAACATTTTACTAGTCCAATCTAATCCTCCCTATCAAACATAGAGGTAACGCAGCTAATATTTTCCTGTTCTTCTTTTTGAACTTTCTTATAGTCGAGCTCACTGCCCATAGCTGTGTCATTTCCTCTGTTTAGAAAGCAACTGGATAAAGCATTAAGAGGAAGTATAGGCAGCGCTATATTCATCCTCTTTCTCAACCCCTTATGTATCTAACTTTCTAAATCCATGTGCTGCGATTTATAAGAGAAATTTCGGACAAACAAAAATGACAATAATATTTTCCATAAAGAATAAAACAAAATCTTGGCAGGAAGGCGTACAATTTGAAACATACAATTTGAACCCATTCACAGTGAAAAGTTGATCAAAAATTTGATGGATTACATATTTCAACTCATTTGAGCTTAGATTTTGATGACCTCTGAAGAGGCTTTGCAATGGGCCTAGCAGGTGCACTTCTAACAACCTTCTTCACATCATACTTTACAGATGAGAAGGCAGCGATTACGGCAATGAGCATAGTTGGGTAGACAAATACGGCTTTTGTAGGATCTGTGTTCACAGGCTTTCCGAGGATCCCTTCTTTGATGAGGCCCCAAAGCATTAGAAGTGTCCCAAACATGCTCATCCTCCCTCGTTTAAGAAGACCCACAAGGGCTCCAGCCACAGCAAAGTAGCTTCCCGCTAGAACCTGATGAATTAATCAAAGAAACAGAGATGAGATTACTGCTTCATATTGTCGGAAGTGAAAGCCTAATGGCTTGCCTCCTCAAGATAAAGTTGAATATCCTTTAAAACAACAGAAAAGGGAAAGTGACTATTGAGAACTGGAACCTCTAAGCGCTGGAGGTCAGTAACTGCAGGGGATTCCTTTGCATTGGTCAAGTTATAGATGTCTAATACGTTATTCCAGCTTGGAACAGTCATGTTCCTCACAAGTCCATTTGCAACAGCTCCAGGGAAGAGAAGGGCTTTTACCACAGGAATAGGAAAGATTTCACTTGCAATCAATTGAGAAGAAGTGACATGCAACGGTGTGGTACACATGCCAGATCTGCATGGAACTCTGTAACAATGAAGAAAGAAAGAAGACACAGAAGAAACATTAAGCCAAAAACAGAGAGTTTTACATTTACCTTTTTCTTAATACATATTTCCACTAAACACAGCCATTAAATAACAAAAAAATATTTCCGTCTGATCAAGACAAGCCAGAGGAAGAAATGGAGCAGCATTACATGTACATAGATCCAGATAAAGCACATACAAATTATGAGCTTGTATCATACAAGAAATCCAAAAGGAATACATATTGCTTAAGTAATACAAATAAAATGCATCAGGTTTCTATTATTTAGACTGATAAACACCTAAAACGCCAGCATAGTGCAGAATGATCATTCCCTACACATGGTACATAGGAATCATGCTCCATCTCAGGACCTACGTGGATCCCGAGTGAATCCATAAACATGGATACTTTACATAAATGCAATTCTAGCGTCTTCTGTAAATATCTTCTCTAAGATACTTATAGAAAATATACACTTCCTCTAATTTTATAGTCTTTCCTTGAAGTTATTTTTTTATTTTATTTTTTGGTCATAATTTCCTTCAAGTTAGAAGTTTGTTCCAAAACTCAACCAACCAACCATAAGGCCATTGCCACTACTGAGCTTAGCTCAGTTCATTAACTGCCCTGAATTGCTGATCCATATTCTGAGGGGTCTTGGGTCCTTGTGAGATTATAACAAGTGAACCAAGTACCCTAATTCAACTGCTAACTAAAAAAATTGGGCATATCCTAAAGCACAACTTCAGGATTGCAAAATCAAATCAACCAATCTAAAACAAACAAGATATTCATTCCTTTTTTTTTTTTTTTTTCAAAACCAGGTTTAACAATGTGACACTAAGAACTTCAAAATGCGGATCCAGATTCGATAAACCACGAAACTACAAATACCCAGATGCTAAAACATGAAAATGAGCAAAAACAAAGCATGACCAGATAGCCTAACAAGTTGAGCAACTAGGAATTATATGAAAATAGAAATGAAAATAAGAAGATTTGGGCACAGAGAGGGAGCGAGAGTGGAAATTGATCGAGTGAATTACAGTACCTGAAAAGCGGGATCTGGAGAATAATTAGGAAGAAGTAGATGCGAGCGGCTATTGACGAGATGTTGCTTATCCATCCCTTTGACGATTTTGAAGCTGATGATGATGGCGGAGTTGCCATGATTGGCTTCAACTTCAGACACAGAGAGATGAGACTTTACTAAACTAGAGTATAGTATGATTTTCTTCTATGGCAGAGCTATTTGTGGACGCATCAAACGACGTCGTATCATTCCTTCACGCATTGTCGTCTGCCTGCAAAAAACGGTTGTGGGCTTTGAATTGTGACGAGTTAGGCCCAGGGCAAAAATAACAGTTGAAGCTTACCATTAAAACGGCGCTAAGAGCGGTCGTTTAAGGCGCGCAGACTGAGAGTAGTAGATAAACCTGTACCGAGAGGCAGAAAGGCGGCGCCTTTTCGTTTTTTTCTCATCGGCGTTTGGGCGGAAGCGGTGCGGTCTGGTGACCTTTAAAACGGCACCGTTTGGGAACAGAGGAATTTCTATCTCATCTTCCTCGCATTGAGAGCAAAATGGCTTTTGCTTCTGCGCTTAACACTCCCATGGGGCTTCACTGTTTAACGTTGCCGTCTTCCCGCAACGAACGGCCACCCACCAATCTGATACTGCCACGTCAATTTCCGGCTCGGTTCTCGTCGACACTGGCCTTGGCCCGCCGTCGAAACCAACGCACTGAAGTGCCGTCGTCCAAGCCGAAGATAAAGAAGGTAAGAAATGAGATTTTTTAGAAGTGCTTTCTCGGTTTGCAGAAACTGAAATTTCTGGTTTTCAATTCGTGGTCGAATGCAGAAAAGCTTGGCGAAAAAGGAAGTGAAGGATGAGGAGGAGGAGGATGTGGATGAGGATGCTATAGATGCACTGTTTAGGCTGCTGGAGGAAGACCTTAAAAACGACGACGCATCGTTAGACGACGAAGATTTAACAGAAGAAGAGCTTGCTAAGCTCGAACAAGAAGTAGCAGAGGCACTGGGGATTGTTGATGATGAGGAGGACGAGGATGAGGACGAAGATGATGATGATGATGATGATGATGATGATGATGACGAGGACGACGAGGATGATGATGATGACGTTGTTGTTGAGATCGATGCTCAAGAAGAAGAAGTAGATGATGATGAAGAGGAGGAGGAAGAGGAGGAAGAGGAAAGTCCTGTGAAGCTTAAGACTTGGCAGCTTCGGAGATTGGCTGCTGCTTTAAAAGTTGGTCGCCGCAAAACCAGCGTAAGGGTTTCTTTCTCTCTTTAGTTTTTGGGTTGTTCATGAAATTTGAAACATTTACTGCCCTGAAACACTTGAAGATATCAAATTTCAAGTCCAGTCAAGCTTGATATATTTCTTGGTAGTAATCATTTTGTTTGGAAATTTTAAGTTCAAAGGAGGCCTGGGGGCTTTGGAGATTATAGAATGAATAAAAATAGATAGGAAAACCAAAACCCTGTTTTTTAATGTAAACTTTGGTTCATATTCATGAAAATTTGCCTCTCAGTATTTGGGGTTTTTAGTTATGTTGGCAAACTTTATATTGTTGGCATTTCGTTTGTTTGCAGATAAAAATTCTTGCAGCTGAGCTTTGTCTCGACAGGCCGGTTGTTCTCGAATTGCTTCGCAACCCCCCTCCAAGTCTTTTGATGATGTGTGCTGCTTTACCTGATGAACCAGCTCCAACAATATCTGTGTCCCAAACGATGCCTGTAGAAACTGCTGTGGAAACAACTGTAGAAACTGTGGTGGAAACAACTACAGAGTCTTCGGAGGTTGAAACTACAGTGAAGGTGCCCATTCATGTTATGCAACAAAAGTTTTCCGCTCAAAAAAGACTGAAGAAAGCGCATGTTGAAACCCTTGAAAGTGTTTATAGAAAATCAAAGCGGCCCACTGTAAGTGAATCTTTTGTGCTGAATGATTTCAGGATATTGCGATATAATGTACTTTCATTTGAAACTTGACCTAAAAGAACTTGTTCGCCATTTCCTTATGCTTTGTGTGCGTTGATATGTGATGCAGAATGCAATGATCAGCAGCATAGTGCATGTGACAAACCTGCCCCGCAAAAGAGTTGTGAAATGGTTTGAAGACAAACGTTCTGAGGATGGCGTTACTGACTCTCGACTTCCATATCGACGGCCTGCCCCTAATACTGCCTAGTAAACCAATGTGTAAAGCAGGTACTTCTATGTTGTTTATAATGACAGCTGATAGATTTTTTAAGCTCTATCTCCTTTCATTTTCATTAAACTTAACAGAAAGTGAAAATGGAACACGGCAGTAAAACAAGATGGGTGAAGCCGCTGTTGGCCTAGGGCTAGCTCAGGTGATGAAGGGGCGCGAAAAAGGATTAGGATACGTTATGGCTTTAATCCAATCCGATTTACCCCAAAAAAGAAAAAAAATATGAAATAAATGAGCTCTTGCCTTAGTTCAATATGATCTTCAGTTTCAGCAATCCCATCTAATAAATAATAGAACTTTGACCTCTATCATCTTCTTTAGCCTAGGGATAGGTATGAGAGGAAGGAATAAACCTTTGATCTTTACCCTAAAAGACAGCAAGAGAATTTATTTATGGCGGTAATTAAATGAATTCTATAGTAACTAATGAAAGATCTTTGACATCTATCTTCTCCTTTTCCCCAGGGAGAGGTAGAGAACAAGGGAGAGAACTTTGATTTATACGGAAAGACAGAAACTTAGAAAACGTGTTATTCATTTAGATGCCATCCCCTGACCTCATTCTCGTTCTTCTCCCTTTGGCATTTTCCCGCTTCCTCGTATATATTAATCAACCTAATCACCCAGATTAGAATTATCACAATTTCTGCCCAAAGCCAGCTATCATCACAACTGGTTGAGACTCGAGAGACCTCATGGCGACGTTAGCAAGGTCGGCATCAACATTTAGGCGGCAAGGCTCGTCGGGCTTAATATGGGACGATAACTTGATGCTGCAAAGAGAGGAAGGCAGGGCAGATTTTAGAGAGCTAAGGCCAAGCCAGAGTGCCAAACCCATTGGCCTCAAGGCTTGTAGCAGCTCAAATGGAGCACTCGCGATTTGCCCTCGCAGCTCTTCTACCTCAGCCAAGAAGAATCCACATTCTCTCAAATCCAAATTCTTGAAAATGTTTCGTGCTCTCTTTCGAAAATCAACCACTGCCCGGAAATCCAATGCATGAAAGGACATGGCATGATTTAATGTCTTCTAAGCACATAAGTATATAGTATTATAGTATTTCAACATTTCAATGAAATTCTTGTAGCTTGGAACATTGTGTTCCAACAAAACACTTTCTTGTAATTGTTTTATTATGAACATAAGTAATTACGATCTCGGCATTTCATAGCAAACCATACATACCGACAAAATGGTATCGTTTTCCTGTCAATTTTTGTTCTGAAAGGTATGGTAGGGAAGCCCATCTCCATTTTCTCATGACTTAGAAGAAACAGACAAAGTTTTTGGTTAGAAAAAAGGTCGAAAGCCCATCTTCATCTATATACGGATGATGAATGAGACCATTCGTTAAAGTCGCCAAGGATTATTTTCAAAGGATTGGCAAAGTTTGTTGGGGCCACCACAAATTTTCAGCCTACCTACAAGTTTATAGCATCTATTGGCAATATAAAACTTAGGCTAAGTTAATTGTCAATTAATCCTTTTTCTTTTTTCGTCCCGTTAACGTTAAGTATGGTCCAACATTACATCTAGACCCTAAAAACGAAGTTTACATTTTTTTTAAAAAAATTAGGCAACAAAATAGAAGGCAACTTTGGGACCTAACATTTGAAGTTTATATTTTGTACGGGGATATTCGGAGATTTCTATGTCTTTTTATATGTGATGGTGGATTTATGTTCCCAAATTAAAACGACAACTCATGGTACCGACATCCCAATCTGGCGGAGCTGTCCAATTCCTAACCGAAGTTGGGTCGTCTTTGAGCCACGGGCCTTTAGAAATTGAAATATCTTGCTCATGAATCGTGATTCATACATACTTGACAGGGATAATGATCCATTCAACTAAAGAAGCAAAATAATAAAAAACAAATGAAGTGTAAACTAATGATCCATTAATACATACTTGACAGGGATACTTGACAGGGATAATGATTCATACATACTTGACAGTGATAATGATCCATTCATGCATAATCGTGATTCATATTAGCTATCAAGGTTACCTAAAGTGTAAGGAGTTTACAGCTCAAGTGGTTAAGAGCAATTATCCATGCACTTGAATTGAAGTTTTATGTTCGAATTCCTCTCCTAATATCATTTATATAAAAATTAAAAAAAATTAAAAATTCACTAACGTAACATATGTTGGAAAATACTCCAAGTTCGAAATTGCTCAAATGTTAAAAATTGATTAATTTTTCGATTAAGACATATAATAAACTATTAATAATAGTAGTGATATTTCTCTTTTTAATGTCAGAAAGCTTCCGGAGTTAAAAGGTGATTTTAAGAAGTTAATCACATGAGATATTTAGACTTCCATGGTAAACTAAACTAAAACTCATTGCTTTCCGAAAATCAAGAAACACATGCACTTCCTCCAGCACATAATGTGGTCCCCACTGTCCCAGTTCGTTGCATCTCCCTCCCCAATCTCCATGCCATCCGTCCGATCTGAATCCCATCCAACGCTTCCCCTGTCTCCACGATCCCTTCCTACAAACCTTTGATTCAGGCCACGCCTCATGGCTCATATCTCTCCACGCTCACCCTCGCAGAGCCCTCAGATCTGAACGAGCTTCAACGGCTCCAAATCCACTCTGAAACTCCACCTCTCTGCTATTTACTCACTCAAACATTAATGTCCCGCTCTTTTAATTTTCTTCCAGCTGAAAACCACACAAAACAATTACTCTCTGTTTGATTTGTTTAGAGACCAAATGCAAGAGCAAGCGACGAGCTCCCTTGCCGCGAGCTCTCTCCCGTCGAGCAGCGAAAGGTCTTCGAGCTCTGCATTCCAAGTTGAAGTTAAAGAAGGTTTGATTTTCTCAACTCATTTTTAGTTTTTCAAAGTTTATGTTTAACAAGTCTAGCTGAGTTTGTTCAAATTTGTCTACTTTCTTTTTGGTTCCAAATAATTTCGAAATTTCCCATCTGGGTTTTGTAGAATCCTGGATTTTATCAGCCGGGTCTTTGTTATTTTCCCTGGAAATGCTTTCTGCGGATGAAAAACCATTCCTTTTACATTGCTTCAAGTAAAAAGAAGAAAGCTTTATTGTTCATGGTTGGCTGTTTATCTTCGTGAACCAATAATTTAGAAATTTCCCATCTTGGTTTTGTAGAATCCAGGATTTTCTCAACTGGGCCTTTGTTCTTTTCCCGGGAAATGCTTTTTTGCGGGAAAACTCTTCCCTGTTACATTGTTTTATATAAAAAGGAGTCGGCTTTTCTTATAAGGCAAAGACATGATGCATTAAATTTTTGTTAAGGTCCAACAATATATTTCTTTTTTGGCCTAAATTTTAGGCATGGAAAGTGATGAGGAGATCAGGAGAGTGCCGGAGATTGGCGGTGAATCGGCCGGAGCGTCAATCTCCGGTAGGGAAACCGGTTCGTTGGCCGGTCCGGACCGGGCCCAAGTGGTAGGTGAGGGGCAAAGAAAGAGAGGAAGAAGTCCAGCTGACAAGGAAAGCAAGAGGCTGAAGAGGTGAGTTGGGCTGCACCGCTTCCATGGTTATTTTACTGTTCTGCCCTTTTTAGTCGATTGCGTGTGCTTATTGGCATTTTGGTGGAATTGTCTTTTTTGGGTGCGGGTGCAAAACAAAAGGTTGTTAAGGAACAGAGTCTCAGCACAGCAAGCAAGGGAGAGGAAGAAGGCATACTTGAGTGATTTGGAAGTGAGAGTCAAAGACTTGGAGCAGAAAAACTCAGAGCTTGAGGAGAGGCTTTCCACTTTGCAGAATGAGAATCAGATGCTTAGACATGTATGTTCCATCATCCCTCATCACATGCTTCATGTTAATCATCATAATCATTATTGTCATCAAATAATCATTACTTAGAAATTAGAATTTGTTTATATGTGCCGGAAAGATTTGCATTAGGGGTATTGTGGGGAAGAAAAAACGATGGTATAAATGTACAGTTCTATTGAGGAGGGCCCTTGATATTATCTTATCTTCACTTATTATCAAAAGTGGAAAGTGTTATGGACTTGTGATATAAATGGGGTGTATGGGTGGGGGATGTGGGGTCTACCCCACCAAATCCATTACTCCGTTTTGTTCTTGATAAGAAGTAAAAGCTGAGGTATGGAATTAGATGTGATGGTGTCAAATTCCCTTTTTGGTCCACCAACTAGTGGACTGATACTATCCCTCTTAACATGCTAATCCATATTAAGATTGATCATGGTTAAATGTGTCTACTGTTTAGAACCGTTAACCATGGTGTACGGTTATCATCCTATTTAGCATGTCTCATGCATTGTACAATCATTAATTATTGGGATGGTTGTGAGCGACAGGTCTGTTTTTGTTGAATATTGATTGAGGTAGACTTAAAACTTAGCAAAATTTGGGCTTAGGCAATTGATATTTATGATACACGGTCACCTGACAAATTTGAGAGAATGAAGTATTTCTCTGCATTATCCATAGGACTTATTCTTGGAAACCTGAAAGAGTTGGAAACATATCCTGAACTGTCACTATGCTTAAGCTTTTACTGAAAGTTCTGCCTCTGTAATGCACCTGTAGTTTGATTTAATATCTGCATGACATTTACTTATTGGTAGCCTCTGCCATTTTAATTTGTTGCAGATACTGAAGAACACAACGGCAAGCCGGAGAGGAGCAGGCAGTAATGCAAATGCAGATGGATCCTTATAGGAAAGTGTGTGAGATCGGAGTGTTCATAAAGAGGAATTGTGAGAGGAAAAGCGGAAGCAATACGACTTTAGTATTCCAACCATACATGGAAACGTCACAAGGGAAGGACCTAGGCATACTTAATCATAGATTAGCATTTCCTGCAAGTTATGTTCACTAGTAGTTCATTTGCATGCCACTCGGTACTTTTCTCTATGCAATATGGTGCAGATCTTGTGTCAACTGTAGTAACAGCAGCGGGTGCAGGCATGACCATTTACCAAAAATGGGAAAAGGTCGTTCTTGTTGGTAGTGCAATGACAGGGGCACAAGCTTTTGTGAAAATGGTAAGGCAGTGGTGATTGCTTGTAGGGTTTAGGCTTGCCGCGGCGATTGTGGTGTTACCGTTCTACTTATTCTTTGCCGAAATGTTCTATAGGTTTATAGGAAGATCAAATTCCCATCATCAATGTAATGGGAAAAATGGAATAACAGTGTACTGTGTTCTTTTAAGACGGGTGGTATTAGTTTATGCAATCTTTTCTGGAAGCAAAATCATTATGCAAATAAACTGGTAAAATGCCCTAATTAATAGGACTAATAAAATTGTGCTCAGCTGAGCTAGCATTTTCTGCAACCGCAAAAGGAATAAAAGAACAGAATATTTGGGGTGGTTGCCAAACCATGTTAGGTGATCATGTTCATGCGTGTGGCAAGTAAAAGACTATTCGATCGGAACTCAACCGTGTTTTAACTAATCGTGCCAAATTACTTAACATTGGCCCCACTTTCTAAATTTGTTTAAGTTAACAGACTGAATTAAACTAGAAACAAAAGATAAGTTACATTTACCAAGGATGTTTCACATTACTATAAAACACCACTTGATCTTTATAATAAGACCATAAAAAAGAAAAACATCGCCACACGTTTAATAATCTAACTTCATTTTATATCTTTTTCGTAAATAAAACGAACACGACTAATGCATTTATGCCCTGAAAATTTCTGTGATTATTGAAAACTTAGAATCCTATACCTGTTGATTATAATACAAACCAACATTGAGTATTATACGTTTTCCATTCTTTTTTGGGGTCTTTTTATTTAAACTTAAAATTTAAGTAGTTAATCTTGTGTAATACGGTTATGTGGGTTACACAATTACATAATCATGTTAAAGCGTGTCATTTTTGGGTTAGGTGGCTTGACCCAAAATACGAACTGTTTACTAACTGTGTTAAGCGGGTCAACACGCTTATTACACAAACAAAATTGTGGCCGAATGCAAACTTGTTTGGTTGTTGCAAGAATTCTATAGTGAGTTCCTTATATATGGTCATTAGGTGAGGCTCTATCTCTTAACTGTTGGATCAAATTGGTTAACTTGATCTAATGATTGAGAGATAAGACCTCACATAAAGCCCATATACAAGGCTCTCACTATAGAATGACTCATGTTTGTTGTTTTTAAGTGGGTTGTTGTGTCGTGTCTAAAATTTTCACTCTAACGGGGGTGTATTCAATCAATACTTTGATAGAAAATTAAAGACTTTCACATAATTAAAAAGTCCGAGGGTATTCAATTAAGATATTTAATGAGTTTATCAAAGTATAGTGGTAGTCAATTGTGACTTTTAAAAAGTCTTCAAAAGTTTGGTGGTATCCAAAAAATTAATAACTTGTAAAGAGTTTATTAAGTAAATGACTTTTATATACTTTTAAGCCTAATTGTTAACACCAAAAGTCTTGCTAATTTCCTAATGACTTTAAACTCTTCAACAAAACATTTTAAACTTTTAAAAGTTTTTTGTCTCTCTCCTGTCTTCACTCTGCATAATCGTTGTCACCAACGGCCACTCACCCACACACTCCATCTTCTTTCCTGGGTGAACTCTCTTCACTCCATAAAAATTCCCCTCAAACCAATATGGGAGTTCTCTTCAATATGTGAGACACAAAAATCTTAAAGAAAGGAAGGAGATCAAAAATCATTTCCCCACAAAGAAAAACCAAACCTGAACTTTTTTCCCTCCAAAGTGTTTCTCATCAAATCGATCATGCGGGTCTTTCATAATATTTTTCATCCCAAAATGAAATAGTACTTGAACTTCATGTTTTTCGAGGAGATTCTTTCGTATGAACAGATTTTGTGTTATTCAATCATCATTAGCAATTCAAAAAGTAGATAAAACTCTATAAAACTCACGATAAAATCATTATAAGTTTGTCACTTACCTTTATAAACTCCATAATAGTCATTAAAAATCGTTAACTCTATGAAAGTCACTCACTTAAAAAAAATCATTATAAGTATGGATTGAATACAACCCTAAATCTGAAGTCATGTATAAAATTTCCTTCGGCCCACTTGGGCCTGAGCCTTTATGAGGGCCTCCTTGATTTTCCTTTTTATTTTATAAGACGGGCCTACATGGTGAGGAAGATTCATTAGTGGTTTCGCAATCCATTTTTGCATGCAAATCCAAAACAATGCAAAGAAATTGCTACCACCGACAATAACCACTACTGGTACTCTCCCACTACAGCCTGTTACCAGCAAACAATAAATTACAAAATTAAGACTTAAAATATATACGACACTTGTTGGTTCTTCTCTCCTTGACAAAGACAACCCAACCGGTAACCTTACACGTGTCCAAATTAGATTGGATGCAACCGTTTTAAGTCAACAATTAAACTCAATTGGGCTCTCTGGTTTCTCACCAGACTCGTATAACAACTGCATGGTTTGGTGTTGTGTTGCATTATTGTGATATCATCGTTTTTGTTAAATAAAGAAAATAAAAGGGATGTTGTTTATATCACTAATCGCATCTCTTGATTATTGCAAAATAACTTCAACCACCAATTACATTAGATACTTTGAAATCCTTCATGTAATTAGTAATTGCTCTTCAATAATGATATGGGTTTTTTTTGTGGTGTTATTTCGACTATCTCCAACAATCAGATCATGCCTCAAATTTAAATTTCAAATCATAAAAAATTACTAAATCTTATACCATTTCTCTAACCATGAACGTAAAGTATATATGCTTTATTGGAATTCTTTCTATAACGATGTGACCATTTAGTTTTCATAGCAACTCGAAGTTCTTATGAGGATTTAATAGAATTCATTCACTGCAAGTAAAATTTTTGCCCAAAAAAAACTTCATTTAAAAAACATACAAATATATTGATAAAAATTTGAAAATAAATTATTTTAAAATTTGATATACAGTATTGTAAAAATATCATGTATATTTAATTATAAGACAATAATTTTCTAACCCAAAAAAAAAAAAAAAAAAGTGAAACAAAGACAAAAGGAGTCTAAACTGATTCACTGTACAACGACTAAAGCGAGCTGGGGCGGGACAGTGGCAACCGGTTCACCCGGTAAAATGAAATAAATATTAAAAAAAAGAAAGAACAGAAAATATAGTAATAAAAGGACAAGTAAAGGCAAAGCTGTCATGAGTAGAGAGAGATCAGAGATGTCGTAGTGAATGGGCGAAGAATTCACAGCCTTTGCCTCCCTCACTTCTTTGCCGACAGATCTCTTTTCTGATATCCCAAACCAAAACAATTGAAATCGCAACTCTGAGGAAGCTCAAGAATTGAGAACAGCCATGGAAGCCAATGCTGGACTGGTGGCTGGCTCTTACAACAGAAACGAACTCGTTCGGATTCGCCACGATTCAGATAGCGCGGTAAAGTGTTTTCAGAGTTACCCTTTTCGATTTTTTTTCCGATTTGTGTTATTTATTGTTTGTTTTGATGTGGGTTTTTGTTTTTTTTTTTTAATAATTTTTTTTGGGTACTGTGTGGATCTCAGTGTTGTCTAAGGGGAGCTGAGTTTTCAGTAAATATCTGTGTTCTTTTGACTGAATCGGAAATGGGTAGTTTTAGAATTTAGATATGGAGTTTTGATTGAGACAAGGGGCAGTGGATGTTACAGTCAAACTTGGAGATTTGAGTTTGGATTTGTTAAAGCACTGATCTTGTAGAAATTTGTTTGCTTTATGAATAGCTGTGGAATGGTAAATGTAATTTCTATCAGATCTTAGAAATGTGTTTATCAAAGTTTAATCTGTGATGTCTATAGCTGGATTTGCCGACACTTTTTGACAACCCAATCTAATTATTATTACTTTTCTAGTTTGATACTTCTTTTATTTTTCCGTAATGAATCTAAGATCTTGATAGTTTAGTCCTTTATTGTCGGTCATCTCATTTGAATTCAGCTCAATGAAATTTTAGCTTCTTTCTTCTTTCACTGACTCATCACTCATAACACATGCCTGTGATCTGTTCTTGTAAGACTTTGAAATGGTGTGAAAAGCTTGCCTTTGACAACCCAATCTAATTATTATTACTTTTCTAGTTTGATACTTCTTTTATTTTTCCGTAATGAATCTAAGATCTTGATAGTTTAGTCCTTTATTGTCGGTCATCTCATTTGAATTCAGCTCAATGAAATTTTAGCTTCTTTCTTCTTTCACTGACTCATCACTCATAACACATGCCTGTGATCTGTTCTCTGAACTGTGATAGAGTTCTATACAACACAAATCTCCTCATTCAACAGAACCTGAGGATAGAGAACTAACATTCAAATTCAAAAGCTCAGTAGACTTATCCACGTCAGACCTTGGTCTAACAGTTCTCTGAACTATGAGTTGAACTGCTTGTTAGGCTTCGTGGTTTACATTTCATGTGATTGACAATGCCAGTGTAACTAATGTTAGTTTAACCTTTCTTGGAATGAAATTCTGAGTTATTGATCAATTTCATAAAGACTTTGATCATGGTAATTAATTATGTGCATCCTTCGAGTTTCATTATTACAAAATACTGCATTTATCAATGAACCTTTTATTTGCTAAAAGCCTAAAACATAGGTACACATATATCAAGTTTCTTGCTACTTTCAATAAATTTCCTTTTAACGGTTTTGAACATTGTCATTGGTAATGCAGCCCAAACCCTTAAAAAATCTGAACGGGCAGATATGTCAGATCTGTGGTGATACTGTTGGACTCACGGCCACTGGTGATGTCTTTGTTGCCTGTAATGAGTGTGCCTTTCCAGTTTGTCGTCCGTGTTATGAGTATGAGCGGAAAGATGGGAACCAGTCTTGCCCACAGTGCAAGACTAGATACAAAAGGCACAAAGGTTAGCTTGTGGTTTGATTACTTTTAGAGAATTCAATCCCGTTATTTTGGCTTATGGCCATAATTCTTGCAATGAAGTTAATATAACTGATGTACTTTAGGGAGTCCTCGAGTGGACGGAGATGATGATGAGGATGATATTGATGATCTGGAGAATGAGTTCAATTACGCACAAGGAAATAGCAATGCCAGACGCCAGTGGCAAGGA